TGGCGAAGATTCCATTGAGATAACAGATTCAGTATACTTTTGTGCAGACAATACAAAACTTTATGGCATGTCAAGTGACACTCACATGAAGGAGTAACCTCTCGATCTGTCTACTCTATATACTTAGTCAGCATGGCTTTTTAGATTTCTTTTCAAATGCTTAATATCACTAAGAGAGAAAATCTGAAAAGTTTCCAACTGACCATCCAAATTCTAATTGTTAAAATTGTAGAAAGTGATTCCTCTTGGTTTGGGGGTGTGGGGGAGGATTTTTTGCATCTAAACAAAAATAATGGACATTATCTAATGAGGACTTAAGTTGAAGACTTATGTTTCCACCACACTTGAACGGTGGTCTTGTTGATGAGATTAATTTTAGAAAATAACATATACATATAATTATACCCGTGGTTCTTTCTGCAGTTTGCTCAATATAGTATCCAAGTCTGTGTGCATTCTTAAGCCATCTGAAGGTAGTTTCTTTATCAAGTGTAGTACTGCTGAGGCAGCTTGTTCCTGAATGCAAACAAAGGGATCAGAGTCAGTCAGTTCTAGCTGTTTGCCTGCCAGCAAATAACTAGTGGGGCATTTCAAAATATTAAAACGAGAAAGAAAGTGTGGATGGATTTCAATGTTCAAGAACCAAATGAGTAACAAAAGGTAAAAAAAAGGCAGATTGCAGGAAGATTTTAAAAAAGAAATACTTGATCAAATTAGGCAGCAATTCGCAAAGGTAAGAAATATATAGAGTAATATGAGTAAATAAGCATCAAGAATTTTATTTTTATTTTTATTTTTTATATTAAACTATCTCCTCTTCCAACAAATAAACCTGCGCTGCTTGTCAATACACAATGGAAGACTGCTCTGAATGGATAATGTTGAGACAGAAACGAAAAGATGCATACTTTGCTTAGTATGACGACCAAAAGTGCAAAGATACAGTATCATAATTGCAAATACTTTGGACTATTATAACTATAAAATATAACTGTACTATAAAGATAAGTATAACATGTCAAAATTAATAATGAAAAAGAGATGAGTTACTGGCAAAGAATGAGAGGGAGAGAGAGAGAGAGAGAGAGAGAGAGAGAGAGAGGAGTGTTACTGGAAAACAATATATAGATCAAAGGATCCTTTCTCAAACACAAATTAATCCTACTTAAACTGCAATCCTAACGATACATAAAAGCATGTCTACCTCTGAAAAAATCAACACATAATCACCAAATGCCTAAAATATAGCCATCTAAGAAAAAGGAAACCATCATTAATCCATCCCCTGTCACCATAACTTCTAAACCATCATCTTTATAGGTTTTAAGCTCAGGAAAAAAAAAAAATTTACCAGGATGGGAGCTTAACAGAAAATAAAAAATAAAAAATCACAGAGGAACTTTGCCTATAAAAAATGATTAGAGAGATATATCAATGAGGTTACACAATCATGATGACTGTACGGAAAAAATATTTGATAAAAAATAACTGAGAATGTAATTAATCACCAAATAGCATAACACATAGTAAATTCATAACCCAGACCTTTACTTTTGGAATTGAATGTTGGTCAAGTGCAGTAACTAGTGCAGGCACAATCCTCAAATGATGGAGGATTTGCATTGCCTCTATTAGGGTTATAGGCAGTTGCATAAAATTAAAAGCTGCACAACAAACTCGAGAATGGGGATCTTGGAATGATTTCAAAATAACGCTCGTAACTTGTTCCAAACAATTTTTCATCAGTACCTGCAGTAAAGGAATGGGTTGAGAGACACTGAAGATCTAAGGATCATATACAATCATGAAATAGTAGGTACTGGATACTAATTCAATACTAAGTTAACACAAATTTGTGCACTATAAATTGTTCAGACTGTCAGGAGGTAATCTAGCTTTATCATTAACAAACCTTAAACCCCAGAGTCTCAGGCCAGATGTGCAAAAAGGATACAAGAGATACAAGTAAAACAGAAAATGTATATGGTGTATACAACATTCCTTTATTTTTATTGATACCTACACAAAATATTTATTGACTGATTGAACCATATAAAAAATAAACAGTTTATACTTGGTAAACCAACTACCATTTTCCTTAATCATTATACTTAGAGAAGGTGCAATACAGTATCATATAAATATTCCCAAATATCAGTTAATAGTATGTATGCTATTACCATTTCGCCGGAGCACTCCTTTGCAATCACTGCAAGCATAGAAATTCCTGCGTGACGCTTCTTCCAATCAGAAGCATCCATGTACTCCAAGAACAACTCAAAAGCAATGGGGGTCATTGTCTTTTCACCTAAGGCAGTTGAAATTTTGGTCAGGTAAGCAATTCCAAGATCTGTCTTCCCGACATTCACACCCTGGTCACTTTCCTTGTTGTAACATGCATTGTCATCATTTATACAGAGAAGCAGTTTCATTGGGACTGTGAGCAGCCTAACCAAAGTCTGATATGGTAACCCCCTCATCGTAAGTGCCAAATCGCTTGCTTCTGCTATGGTTAGCAAGAATTTGTGAACAAACACTTTGGTTCCCTCTGTCACTTGTTCACTCTCTGCTATCTTAAGCATGTCAAGTACTAGTTCATTAAGGTATGGCTTCAAGAGTAGTGGCTCTTCCATTACCAACATTATTAACTCTTTGAGAGCCCCTCGAGCATATTCTTCTTTCAAGCGACTTAACAAATTAAACAGTCCAACCATCATCCCTCTCAAAAGGTCATGAAACCAATTCCGCCCTGATGAATTTGAAAACAAATGAATCAAACTAACCACAGCACTAAATGTGGCGACCTGAATATCAGCATTTTCCGAATTCAATGCACTTAAAAAAGCCAAGTGTATAGGTTCAATGCTGGGAGCTAAAGCTTTACAAGCAACCGGGCGGTACACTTTTGGCAAAAAAGCAAGCACCCACAAAGCAGAAAGTTGAAACCCTTCAGAATCCGACTGAAAAGACTTCAACAAATACTCAATGAATTCTGGCCATTCATTGCCAACCCCAGAAATCTCTGATGCCATTTCAGATGCAATGGCACAGAGTATCCTCAAAGTGGGCAATGAACACTCTTCTTGAAGAGAAACAAGAAAGTTGTTCTTCATGTTAATTTGAGCATTCAAAGACAACTTAGGCCAAAGGTCACAAAGCACAAAACGAAGAACCAGGGCTGACCTGGCACGAATGTCAGCAGAAGGGCCTTGCCTGATCACATAGAAGAGCTTTATGAATAACAAATCTGGGAAGTGCTTTCTGCAACAATGGAGAAGACTATAGGCTTGAGATCGTTGGGGTTCCTGGGGGCTGAAGAGATGAGAGAAGAGGGTCTCCATGGGATGCCCATCTTTGGAACTTAGAACGCCGTAGGCTTGTGTTTGCAATTGCACAGAAAATTCCGAGTCCATCGTTCTTCACTTTTTTGGGTTTTCAAAAATCGTCATATCAAATGTGGGTTTGCCGGAGAAATCAATCAGAAAAGCAGAATCGGCTACAAGTTGGCCATTGACGGTTCATTTTTGCTGATGTAAACATGGGTTTGGATTATGAGACTTGAGCCACAAGGAAGCTAAGAACCAGAGCGAAAATGGAAGGCTATAAGGAGGAGCTCTGCACTCTGAACTACCCTATGCAAGGTTTAATATGTATATTTTTTCCGTTCTCAAGAAAAAGGTTAATAGTTACTTTTGGTCCCTATAGTTTATCTCTTTTTCACTTTTCGTCTTTATAATTTTAATTTGAGCAATTTAAGGACAGGTCACGAGTTTTGTCAATTTTCTTTCACGACGTTAGGGGTATTTTCATCCATTTCTAGTTTTAAAAAATTAGAAACTTAAATTTAAATATTTTTTTTATCACAAACAAGAAACAAGCAATTGATTTGTCATTGAAATGAAATTCCAAAGTGACCAAACTAGCAAATAATAATAAAAGCATTCCCAATCTAGCTCTAAATTCATTAATCTACAAATCCTAATGTCAAAATCAATAGTTGATGGAAATTCCCCTGATCCCGTTAAAGAATTTGATAAAATTCACAACTTGTCCTTGAATTGCTACAATTATGAAACTATAAGGGCACAATTAACCAAATTGAAACTACATGGATGAAAAGTGAAAAAGATGTCAACTATAGGAACTAAAAATGACTTTTTAACCTAAGAAAAAAATAATGTAAATATAAAAGAAATTTTAATTTATTTCAATAGATTGTGTTATTGAAAAGCAAAAAAAAACCAGTTTTGCATCATAAATCTCTATTTATTTTTTTGCAGACCTTATCATATAAATAAATTAGGTCCTCAACTTGTTTAGTTATTATTATTTTTAAATATTGTAGCCCTATTAATAAATCAGATTTTAATATGAATATGATTCAATTTTTTTTCTATTTGAATTGTGCTTGAAATTTGACTACCCATCAACCTAACAAATAAAAAATAAATTAGAGATACTCCAACCCATTTTGATATAGTTATCTTTTACAAATATTACATATGTGTTTAAGGGCAGCTTCGGTCCGGTATTATAATTCAAATGAAAAGCACATAGCACTTGTGAGTTTTTAATTACGTCTAGTCGTTATAATGGATCATAAAATAATTTGGAAGAATATGAATCCGGACTTATCAAAATGTAGTGGGCATGCCAAAAGAAAATATGTATAAAAATATTTTAGAATATTTCTTTATATCCAAGTTCGGATTTCCGTCTTCATAAATTAGAGCATGACTCACAATATCATATTGTCAAAAATAGAGGCTAAATGTTTTTAAATTTGCCCAAAATTGACCATTTTTTCGGAATTTGAGGCCAACAGTTGAAGGGAAGAAAAGGGGAGGTGACGCACAGGGCACATTGAGCAAAAGACCCTCACCAGGAAGTTTGGTTTTTTCATAATAAAAATTTCAAATCATTGGCGCGAAAACTTCAAAGTGAGAGTTTTTAAAGCATATCATAAAACCTTCCAAAACTTCAAGGCGCGAACACAGCAAGAACAGAAACTTTGCTTATCAGAGACTGGAGCATTGAAATGAGCTCAAAGAAAACTCCGCCAAGGTTTAGGGCTGTAGGGCAGCGCTCACTTCCTTCATTATTCTTGTCTTGCTCAAAAAAGTCGTAAGCGAAAAGAAACACAAACCCTTATTTTTTTGTAATATATCTTCTATTGATTATTTTTTTGTTCCAAGATATAATTTTTGCGCGTGAAATTAGTGTCAAGGCTGTAGAAGAAGATCCCGATGGGGGCTCGCATGTGCGGCTCTCGGAACGGAAGCCGCACCAGACTGCTGGAAAACCCACGACAGTAAAGGTACCCTTACGTTTATTGGCTGTTGATAAATTGGTGAACGGAAAGGAAAGACTATCAAATATTGGGTTTTAAGTTCTCTGTTAAATTTTATTTATATTTTCATTGATAAAAGGAAACCAAAGGGGCGATTCCTCTCTATTGTTGCCTACATTTACATATGTGAATCAATAGTTTAAGGAAAAATTGTAACTTTAAAAGAACTATAAGAAATTGGATGGAGATACTGGAAAATTTGGGACTTGAAATTTAAAAAGATGGAAATTTTGGAACTCGAAATTTGTATTTTCCTTTTAGAAGCATTTGGGTCTTTGATTTAGAAGTTGTAACTTGAAATTTGCAAATTGATGGAGCATTTGGGTATGTGATTTAAAAGTTGAGCTTGAAATTTGCAATTGAATGGAGCATTTGGGTCTTTGATTTAAAAGTTGAAACTTGAAATGTATGGAGCATTTGGGGCTTTAATTTAAAAGTTGGGGTTTAACTGAAATTGGTTTAAATTCTCAGGCAAGGTTGAGGCCCTTCTCGTCAATTTTTGGCCTGAGAGATTTAAGTGAGTGCATTGATCATGATGAGCAAATTGAGGCCAAGAAAGGAGGGGAAGCTGAGAAGAATCATGTTGCTGCTTTATTGGCTTTTGAACAATTCAAGCATACTGATCTAGGAAAAGGACATTCTTTAGGTCCATCCACTGATGGTCGAGTAGAAAGTTCTAACGGAGATGTTGTAGAAGAATCAAGAAAAAGGAGGAACCCTTTTGAAGGTTTGCCTTCCTATCTCAATTTCTCTTGTGCAAAGACGTTCTTAGAATAAACTAAATCTTCTCTTGCTTGCTGATTTGTATTTGGTTGGTCTTCAGGGAAACTAGAGGAATATAAAATATTATTGAAAACTGAATATTTTCTTTATGTTGCAACTCAATCAATTCCATAGAATATTGCTTGCTCAGGACTGGATATTATGTGTATAAAAGCCAAAGATCACAATTCTGTTCCGTTTATATTATTATTCACTATAAAATTAAGATTAGTTTATTTTCTTTAAATAATTCAACGGCCCCTGTGCTTTCAAGAATTTGGTTGTTTAATTCATCAGTAGTATCAAAGAGCTCCACAACAGGGAGTAGAGTGTAATCAGTTTTCCATGTCTTTACATGCTAACTCTTATGGTGCATTGACTCTCAAGTAATATGATTAACAGTTGTGCTATGTAAGTGTGCTTATTAATTCTAAAATAAGAACAAATATAGAATAGATTGCAACAGAGTTTTGGTTGGAGAAATGTGGTGTGGGAATTGAAATGAGGTCCCGCCAAGGTGTTAAGTGCAGTACTTCTTTGTCTATATGTATTTACAGGGGATGCATATATCTGAGTTATTTTAGGTATGTATTTGAACTTTTCCTCCCACATGGTCCAGGATGTACGTCCATTGGATGCAGGTCTGACTCTAGGTGCTAGATTCCTTAATAGACCTGAATTTTAGACACAGGGATAAAATTAAATTGCAGAAATGCTCAAGTTTCTCTATGTTGGTATAAGATTGAGTAGCAATCTGAAAGAACATCCAATGTGAATGCTTCGTCAGTTCATGAACATGCATGTAATAATGTAAACCCTGGGAAACATCAGACGAACATGCGTAGACATCAAACATGGTTCATGGATAGACATCTTTGTATGTATCTGCCAACATGGTTCATGTATTTCCATGTCTACCAGTCTTTTCTTTCAGTGGTAAAGTTCTTAGGCTCTGAAATTCATAGTACTGCTTATCATCTCTATAACTAAAACTAGAAAGTTATATGAGTTGGGTCTCTGCTTAATGTTTGTGATCATCTCATCATCAGCAGAAATTAGAACTTCGATATTGTGAAGAACAAATATTGCAGTGCAGAGTTTTCTCGAACAGTAAATATATAAATAATGGACTGTCATAAATTGGTGACAAAAATTTCTGGGAAGATTCAAGATTAATGAGAAAAGTTTGTAAGTGAAGTAGAAACATAAAAGATGGACAAATGAGCTGAAGACATCATGCTTTGGCATATACACCACAATATATTACATTTGATTTTTTATTTTCCAGCAGTAAGACTTGAGGTATAAATTTTTTATTGAGTAAAATCAACTGAAGCCACCTTTATATTCCGGTTAAAACTTTTTTTTCTTACTCAATCAACTTATGTCCTTGGTTTCTAAGCGACCACACCTTGGCCTTCTCTTTTTAATTAGCTGGGGTTGACAAGCACATTGCAAGAAAGCATTTCGCAATGCTTGGAGGTGATTCAGAACCCAGCCAGACAAGAAGGAATGAGAGTTTTATAAGCAAGGAGAAACCAGGACCTGTTTATAACTACAGTTAGTATGCTATATCTCGACTCAGAAATGGTGTTAACAGTTACTATTTCATGTTTCTCTGTGAAGCACAGTTTTCTTTTTCCTTTGTATTATGTCTTGAGATGTGTAATTTTCATTGTTATTTGCCATACACCACAACTATACACATCATGTTCTAGTTGGTTTCTACTTATTTAGCATATACACCACAAAAGTAGAATATACATCACATTTGGTTGTTTGATTTAGAAGCAAGATTTGAGATGTTAAAAGTTTGTCAAGGAAGATCATGTGTAGCCACCTTTATGTTCCAGCTAAAACTTTCTAGTTTTCCTACTCAACCAACTTATGTCTTTGGTTTCTAAATCTGACCTACCAACCCGCTTTTCTCTTTCAAATAGGCGGCGGTGGCAAACACACTGTAAGAAAACATTTCACAGTGCTTGGAGGTGATCCAAAACCAAAACCACAAGCCTACCAGAAAAGGAGAAGGAATGAGGGTTTTGTAAGCAAGGAGAAAGCAGGACCTGTTTATAATCACTGTTAGTATGCTATATCTTGAATCAGAAGTTATCTTTTCATGTTTCTCTGTGAAGCACAATTTTTCTCCTTTTATGTTTTGTCTCTTGAGGTTGAGGTGTGTAAGGTTGTTATTGTTGTTTAGTAATTTTGGTTCCTGATTTGTGGTAGCAGATGCAAATGGCTGTGGCTGGTGGGACTGCGACAGGGAAGGCATTGACAATGAAGAAGTAGGCCTCAATGAGGTATGGGAAGGAGTGGGCTCTACCACATTGGGAGGAATAGAATGGCATTGATCTTTGGCTATAGATATCATGTCTTAATGATAATTGAAAACTTGTGTAGAATACTCTGTCATTTCTCTCCCATCCCAGATCCCACCACATTTAGTGATGTCTTGTGTAATTTAATGTTTATATATTGTACTGTTTTAACTTTTAACATGAAGATATCTTTTTAGCATGCTGGCTGGCTGTTGGTTTTTTTTTGACTGAACATCTTCAAGACTATCAAAATCCCCTAAAAGATGGACCTATGAATAATTAATCTTTTAGTATAAAGGAAATTAGATCTTATGTTATCAAAATTTGTTGAATTTAATGGCAAGACAAACGTGATGTTGCATCACCGTTAGTACGTACAGAGACATCAAAATTTGTTAGAACAGTAGCGTAATTGAGTTGTAGGGTAATAATAATGAGTTTCCAATTTAGTTTTTATTATGATAGCTTTTTTGTTTTTTTCATGCTCAGAATCTCTTTTCTCAATAGCTTACAAATCCCAAGAAACCCAGCTTGAGAAGCCTAGCCTTGTTCATACATCCTTGAAGTTAGTTGAAGGTGCCTACCTGCCGCATCCATCTCAGAATCTCTTGTTCTGCAAAGCACTAGTACTAGTAACAAACTAGGCGAGCTTTGAATTTGGGAGTAAGACAAGGAGCAAGCAATTTCTTATATTCTTTTTCCAGATTTTGATAGATTCATAATTTCTGGTGTATTGGATTTGGAAGAGTTTGGTTTTAGTTTTAGGTTTGGTTTAGGGTCAGCCAAGTGATATGGAGGAAGATGAGAAAGAAATTATAGTTTTAGTTTTAGAGTTTGGTTTAGGATAAACTTTATTAGGAAAATGGGGCACCAAACCAGTCTGCCATTGTCCAAGGGCATGGGAACAACAAGTGCTCGGCTGATTCAACCTGCTGAAGACAGAGAGGGCAAGTGGGGGAGTCCAAAATTATCGTTGGTTTTTATTACAGTAATGGGGGGATTGCACAATGTGTGATTTTCCCGCAATCATATTTTATTGTAGCTGTAAATTATCGTTAATTGAGAAAGACATTAGAAAAACAACTTGACATTTCATGAGGCATGACTTGAAGGAATTGAAACCAAATCCTAGGAAGAAAAAAAAACATTCTATTAATCAATCCACTACTGCTAAAGGCAACAAACATAATCTGCTAAATCACCCAAGGCCATTCACCATACAAATTGACTGCGACACTTGAAGGAAAAAAAAAGTGTCTCAGAACAATGAGCAACGATGCAGCTATGCTAGTGCTAACAAAAACAAAGCAAGCGAAAGCAAACGAAACCTTGAAATAGAAGAAGATAAGCGGTGCTTAGATATGAGTCCATTTTCATTAGGATGTAATGGATGCTACCAAGGATTTGGGGTGAGCCATATGGCTTGTTTCCTTAATAAATTTATACTAGTATAGATGCCGTATATTAGATCCATATCAAGCAGATCATTAGTGTCGACGTTGATGGCATCAGTCAATTCCATGCATTTCTGGAATAGAAACAATATCCGATCACAAAATCCAACAATCTCTACCCATCGAGGAGGAGGAGGTGGACATAGAAACAGCTTCTCCTCTAGAAAATTGTCTGGAAAAGTAATCATAAGCAACTCCGTTGATGTAGAGAAATCTTTTGCAAGGAAAAGACGACTCTTTTTTATCCTAAATATATGCTCGAACCTCACACGATCTGGCCCGGAGTCGTCAAGTACAACCAACCTTTCGGCCCTGTATTGGATTTGCTGCTGCTGCTGCTGATGATCATCATGATTATTTGTGTCAAACTGAAACACTATTAAAGACTCCGACGGGTTGTTGGTTGCAGCATATAGCTCCCGACTGATGAACTCTATATGTTCAAAGCTGAGGCCCTTGTCAATTCGGGTCCATGATTTATCAGTGGGTCTACAGACCACCAGCGTCGTCGTGTAATCAGTGGTCTACAGACCGCCAGCTTCGTTCTTTCAACATTCGTGGAAAGGCAAGCCACAACAAGAGATGATGGGCTTGTTGTGGTTGGTACCGAGGAGGCTACAACTTTACTGATGAAAGGAGCACTGTCCTGCCTCATTTTCTTTTTAAGGAAACCAAAGAGTCTTTTAAGACATCTCTACCATGTCCTCTGCAATCTGCATGCTATAAGCTGGGATATTGTCACCTGCAGGACTTTTCCACTTCTCAAGAGATTTTTTATATCAAAAAAAGGTGATAGTGCTGTGGACTATATTTTTCTTTTCTTTTTTTTTCTATTGGTCTGATTTGCAGTATGTTCTTTCTTGAAATGAAGTTCAATTTTCCAAAAGCTGAAAGAATTTCAAGTGTTTTTGCTCTGTATTTGTAAACAAAGGGTACGTACTTGACAAAGAGAGGATGGTTTAGGTAAACAAGAATCTCTTCTCTAATCCAACAAATGTATGATCTATTAGTTTTATCAGCATAAACCCAATTAAATAACCAACAAACACAACACAACCAAGTTTCCATTCCAACGAAACAAAAGTTAAGAAATCTTTTTCTTTGACTTGAGAACTTGAGTCGTGTCTTGTATTTCAGTGCCTCTTTGAGCTTCTCTGTATGGGCTTTAGACAAAATTAATATGCTTCCAATCCATTCAGCCCATGTTGGATTTTCTACCGGGCCATCGTCTTTTTACCAACTTTCTTTATTTATGCAATGTTTAGTGACTTAACACTTGTTAAAATCAAACTAAATAAACTCTTTTTTCCTTTTTGAATGTTTCAGTTTCAGCCGGTTTAAATAAGATATAATTGGTAAAATAAAATTCAATCTGTCTAAATTTACTCTTTAAACTTGATTGAAATATATTTAGTGACTGAAACTATCCATGTCCTATATTGTGAGTTGGTTACTAGTAACCGATTTTTCTAATAGCTATCTATCATGTTCATTCATTAAACATCAAAACTAAGGATTATATGAGACATTCTTTGATGATGTTGTTGTCACATGTATATGGTGAACGTATATAGGTAAAAATGTGATGACTATTAGCACATTTCTAAGATGAGAAATGAGAATAAACTTTGAGTAACATCAATTAAGCATTTAAGAAATAAATAATAATTTTGTAACAAATAAAGATGCTTCAAAAATTCTGCAACTACAGATAGATTTGAGATATTGGGAGAAACTAAACTATTAGGCAATTCAGAAGTTGACAGGACTTGTCTTGAATTCCTCGGAACCAGGGACATCCACAACGTCAGACACATCCACAACATCAGCCACAACCACAACATCATGATTCAACATTAACATAAACCCATTTTTCTATAAATCCATTTTGGCATTTTGTACAACCCCATTTTGTACACTTGAAGTATAAAGAAACCCATTTCATCAAAAGCTGGAAAATAATTGATCTTTATATTCAGACAGAATTTTTCAACTCACCTCTGTAACCAGAGGACGCCCAAGTGCTAGATTGAACTCATCCTACAGAAAAATGAGAACAAAGCTAAGAAACTTGTAGATAAGATGAGGAATGTACCTGTACTGTGGTGGGTGCCAGGAGTACAGGTGGATCAAAACGCTCAAAACCCAAGTTGGTGATTGTAGTATTGAGGTCATCGACAATTTGTTGTGCTCTGGAAGCCATGTTCGAACTTGTGGAGAGAAATTGTGCTAGAGGAAAATGAAATTACAGAGACAAACGAGAGCTTGTGAAAGATTATGGCGATGAATACTCTGCTTTTGGCTGGAGAGTTCTTTTTTTTTTGTTGTTGTCTTTTTCTATTTCCCCTCATATCATTATTGAAGATTGTATTAATTTGTTTTTAAGTTTGATGGTTATATGGCCCTTCTTTAAAATATTTTCATGTTCAATCTCACTTAACAAGTTATTGGAAGAATTGTGAGTCTCGGGGAATATTCGAAATTTTAATTGAAGCCATCATTAAGAAAACAAAGTTTTGGGCTCAACGTAATGGTGAAATGAAATTTATTGACGTGGCGACATGTTATTGGACCGTGAGGGATATCGTTAAGAAAACAAAGTCATTTTGACCAACCTTCCTTGTGCAAAACTCTCAAAGTCCTTCAAGTTACTTTTCTTTTCTCCACACGCATTGTTGGTGCACATGACAACCCAATTTTTGTAAGAGCATTCATTCACTCACACTTGGTCATTTTCAATGTTTACACTTTACTTTATGCAATTCATCTGCTTTGAATTTGATAATATAATTTTTTTAAAATTGAACTGGCAAGTTTAAGTGGGTTTGGTTCTTTTATGTGATTGTACACGAACTATTTCTATACTGGATTGGAAGAACGATTGATTGATATTGGGAAGGAACTTGAATTGCGGATTGTGTTCAACTTAAAATAAAGGTATATTGATAAGGATTTTGTTGGTTTTTATAAGGCATTGCAAACATGATTAAGTTGAAATTAGTCATATATTGGAAAACTAGAGTTCCTTGGAGATCTTTATAAGACTTACTCTTGGAAATAAAATAGTTTGGATTGGGCTTTTCAAGCGGCCCAATTGAGTGGCTTATTTTACAAAAAAGGTGTGACTAGATAGAAGCGGCTTGTTTCAATTCAACTCATTATAGGATTTTTCTTTTTCAATTTTAGAGTGGAAGAAACATGATTTTGGGATTTGTAAGCTAGATGCTTGCTCAAATGAAATCAAGCCTATTAATTAACCGATTCTCCAATAGTTTTTAGAGGGCTACAATACAAATACAATGCTGTTTATGCTATAAGTCACAAATTAAATTAGGGTATTTTAATATGTAATATTATGTTTGAAAAATAAGTGTGTTTTGAGTATGTTGACTTGAGATGGATCAGTAGAAGCTAGAGTTTCAAGCTTGTAATAGCACAAAGGAGAGGACTAGCAGGTAGGTGTTTTTCAAGCAGTTAACTTATCTGCTAATCTAGATTGATTGAAAAGTCTGGAAACTAATATTCAATGTCCAAACATGACTTACAATAATAAACTACATATATAGGAAGTAGAGATTAGTAAATATTGGTCTCTCTCACTTTATTATTATTATTTTATAGGCAACAGAATGTTTTTTTTATTTTATACAAGCAATATTTTACTTTAAATTAACCTAAATTACTGGGAAAGGAATTCAAACTCGGGTGCAGAGTGGGAAGAACATCCACTCTAGCCAACTTAA